TAGAGTTATTCTTTGCCATATTTGTCTATTAGCAATATGATACCATTGCTTATTAACAAATAAAAGAGGATACATTTTCTTGTCCCTATCCTTTCTATAATCTTGGAAAATTCTATTGAGAATCTCATTTGGTAAAGATATGTAACAGATGGATGATTTTTCTGATTTTGTGGATGGATGAACTATTTTCTCATCACATTTTTTATTGATATGATACCTGATTTTGCAATTTTTAGTTTACCCTTTCCTACATATCTTTCTATCAGTTGTTCAGTATTTTTATCTGAAATAATAAAACCATCTGTATGGATACGTTTTACACGATCTCCTAGTGATCTGATTTTTCTGATATAATTTTACGTCTCTTTGCTGAAATAAAATGTGCCATACGTCGATAAGGTTCTGAACTTCTCCCATCTAAGTATAATCGTCCCTAGATTGATACTAGCATATATTTGGCTACTTTTCCCACTTGCCCACCCTCTTTCTTGATCTCTGTAAGATAATTTGCCTATTGATTGAAAATATTATGTCCGCTTATGAGCTTAGTTTGTTCAAATATAAGAGTATTATGACTTTCAGAAGATAACTCTATGTGGAGACCTAAATCTATTGCTAATAATAAATCATAATAAGTGTAATATCCTGCAGGATTATAACGAAATCCTCTTATACATTTTTGTTCTGCTGGTTGACCACCTATGAAGATTCGATAAATACTATACTTTAGGTGATCCTTGATAGAAACAGTCCTAATATATATGATTGTTTTAAATTCACATGCTCTTACTGGCCAACCTGATATATAACCATAAGCTAAGATATTTGAATAAAATTCATTAAAGTCTAATTCGCTTGCGATTTCTTCATATGACTCAACCCATACTAGCCCTTCCATGTAGGCTGAATTAATCCAATAATCTTCTTCTTGTGTTAAGTCTTCTGCTTTTCTAGGAGTTAAAGTGACATCTTGAAAGAAACATAAACTTGCCATTGCAAATGTTCCAGTTTTTCGTAAATCAATCTGTCCTCTATTCTGTCATGTGATTGCACTGGCTTCTTCATTATAACGTTTATATACTTCCTGAAGTGTTTCTTTTGGATTAGCTTTAATTAGAAACCAGTTTCTTAATAAATCACAGAAATCATTTTTAAAGCCAATCCATTGTGTATTCCCATCATAGAACTCAATATCCTTACCTTGCTTTCTCCAGAATAGAAATCTTCTAATTGCTGAATACCATCTTATTTCTGTATTAAAAGTATTTTGATATGTTAAAGCTGTCTCATAGTCTTTGGCTCTACTTCTGACCCTTCTAGTTCTGGTAGTTTGGAAGACTCAGGTAACTTAGGTGGCGTCAGGTCTCCCAAAAAGTTTTCTAATAATCGTCCTAATGCACTGGTGATACTACCTAGTATTCTACTCATTTTTTCCAAAGAGTAAATATGGTTACAAAAAGTTTAAAATAAAAATTAATTTATTCAGATAATTAGAGTTACATATTTATTCAAAAGAAGGAATTAGTATAGGATTTTATAATTATCCTTATATTCTTAGAACTGGAGAGGTATGCAATAATGAGTGCTATCAATTGGAAGGGTGTAAAGTTCATTAGAATTCTCCTTGACAAATTCTGTGTATAGAATGCAGAAAATTAACTTTCTCTAATTATAGTGTCTGTAGAAAACATGCAGGTAAATATTACATTCAAAATTTTTATCGACGACAGAAGCTTGCAAAAGTTCAGGCTGATGATGGACTAGTTTTAGGCTAGAAAAAAGTAGTATAGGTCAGAAATCAATGGCTTGCTAAATAGAAGGAAGCTTTGTTTTCATGTTTTGAAAACATACTCTGCTTCATTCTGCAGACTACAAACATTACTTGTTCTCATAACTTGTGTACATGTTCTGCTTTATTCTGCAAACCTTGTGTTCATTAAGTGTAATCCTATTTATCTTATAATATTAGCATATATTTTAAGGTAGCATAGTGTCGAATGCGTATTCGCTGGCGTCACCCTAAAGGGCTTTGCTAGCTCATACTTATTCTTCTATATTGAACACACATTCATTATCGCTCCGCTCCTTTTTATACTTGTTCTCTCTTGCTATCCAAACAGTATGCTATTGGAAAGTGATTTGCTTACCATTTACTCACTTATTACCATCCATATTTGCCTTATATATAGTATACATTAAAATATGGTAGCATATGATCAAAATAATATAGCATCCATATTCGCTTTGCCTAAAGGGCTCACTCATATTCCTGCTATATCATTTCTCTGTCGAATGCGTATTCATTGGCGTTACCTTAAAGGACTTTGTCAGCTCATACTTATTTTCTTATATTGAACGCACATTTGTCTTCGCTCCGCTTCTTCTCATGCTTGTTCTCTCTTGCTACCTAAGCAGTATGCTATTAGAAGGCAATTTGATTATAATGTATGCGAAAAAATTTATGTTATTCAGGTTGAAAGCCAAATGGGTTTCAGATAGAAACGTGTTAAAGTAAAAATTTATTTTTACATATAGGAAGCTAATGTTTACAGAGTGAATACCAATCAAGAAAGCAAATTGATTTCTTTAAGGTCACAAATATAATTACAATGAGTTTACACTATGTATAAAAATTTGATACTCAAGGTGACTCTCTAGATTTTAAGGTTTAAAATAAATGCAAAATCCTATTCCTAGCATTTGTGATTGACGAGATATAAGCTTATAACAATGTGTAATTCTGGTTGCATTTTTTTTGCTCACCACTGTATTTAGCATAAGAAATCTTTTAATACTTTAAGAAGAGATCTAAAGTATTTATCATTAATATTTAATGTTCTGGTTATAATATTTTGATTTTTTTGATCTTCAAATTCAACAAATTGTCTTTTCTCTTCTAACCTATTATAGGTTTATTAAGTAAAACAAACCAATGAAGTTGTATAAAGGTCTTCTAATTTTATAATATTATTTTCAGATTTTACCTTTTGAGTTATTATAATACCAGCTGTAAATCAAGTTTGTGTATAACAGTAAGTCCAAGAAAATCTCATAAGATATAATTTAATTTGCAAATAAGATTGAGCTTCAGGACAGGTAAATACTAATCATTACAATTTTTTTTTAAAATCTTTAACACATGAACTATTTTAAGTCTTAATAAATAATTAATGACAAGAAGTGAATTTATTTTGGAGTTTACCTTTTAACTGTTTTATAAAATTTTGATTTATATGAAAAAACAAATACAGTAGTAGGTATTAGGCAATTTTACTTTAATAGCTGCAGCTATTACTATGTTTTCATCTGTAAAAATTATCTGTAATAATAAAGAATTAGTTGCATATAATATATAATCAAAAATCTATTAAAAAGTTGAATCAGTTTTATCTTCTATTAAAGTTTTTTTACAATGTGAGTTTGATTATTATTGTTAATTATCATAAATAAAGATTATATTGAATTATTTTATAGGTATCACCTGTAATAACCACTTTGTGAAATCTTATTCAAAGTTGCACCTGCTGTGAAAACATCCATAAAATACTTCCTAAATAAAAATCATCTTCAATTATGCATATGCAATTCATATAACATATTTTCTGCATCATTTCTTTTGTATTTTCTATTACATCTTCTGACTTCCTGTATTGCATTATATAAATTCTTATGGTGTTTGGTTGGAACTGCAGTAAGATATTCCAATATATCAGCCTTTATTTCTCCTGAAAATGAGGTCTATGAATCTTAATATTCAAATTTAATGGATGATTATATTCATCAACAATTGTGGTGATTTTAATAATATGTTGTTTTTGGACAAGTTACATTCAACTGCCACTGACAACCAATCGATCCAGAATTTCGTTTACAATATTTCTCTGTATCTTTATCTTTTCTTGGTTGGTATTGAGCAGCTTTGGTATATTCATATATGCATTTGCATACAATATTATCATACAGTCAGAACTCGATATAGCGATTCTCGATATAACGATCATTTAATAAAATCTTGTTAAAACGATTTTTTAAAAATTTTGACTTTATATTTGAACATATAAAAATCATTATATAGAACTTATAAATTTTGATAAACCGATTTTTTTAAAAAAAATTCATAGTAAACCAGAAGGTTCGCTATATCGAGTTCTGACTGTAATCATACTCAACTCTTCTTTTTTGATATTCAAAGCCTTTTTGCTCACAATATTGCATTAAATATTGTTCTACATGTTCAAAGGATTCAAAGGACTGGCCCTTTTGAAGTATCAAATTACTATCATTTACTTCTTCTTCTTTGTCTGAAAAAGTATCCTTTGTATCATTTGCATTATTATAAAATTCAACAGGTTCTGAAGGTGAAAATTCGCGAGTATCCATTATAAAATAAAAGAGAGTCGGGTAAAATAAAAATGAAATAAAAATGAAAGGGAAAAGAGCAAAGGTTTTGGGAAAAGGAAAAGGTGAGAACAAATAAATAATGAAAGTCTATTATATACTGCAGAATCAGTGATCCTAATCACTACCGGTGAACGAAATTCACTACCCCGGTGAATTTTTCGTAACCGTTGACGTATAGCAGGTGATCAAAATTATATACAATAACACGGGGGTTAAATATTTAGATATAATAACACAGAGTTGTTTTTAGCTTTTTTCTTAATTTAATATATTATATCTTATAACTATTTTTTTAAATTTAATTAACTAGTAACTTTTAAATCTGTTTTTTTTAATGTTAGATATATATTAATAAAATAAAGAAAGATAGAGATATATAAATTCTAATAAGAAAGGGTTGTCTAATATACTGTATAAAAGTTCAATTAATTATATAATCTAAAGAAATTATCCAATAAATACAAAAATAAACCATATAAAATCTAGAAAGTGCTATGCTTGCATTGCACAAATGAATTTATAAAGTTTGTTAAATTAATATACAAAATAATTCATCACCAAGTAAAGTAGTAAAGAGGTGAAAAAGAATTATAAAATGATTAATGATTTTTAATCTTGACTTTATTTGATTTCTCATGAAAATTGATAATTCTTGAACAGTTTCTATCCTCATGAGTATGAAGCCATAATTCTTCTAGTTCCAAAAAACAATAACGTCCTTCACGTGCGGCCAAATAAGTTAATATGGCTTGATCTTGACGATGGTTTGTTCTACTACTTCCAACAGGTGCAATACAATCTTTGACCAGAGCGCATGAATACCAATCATCAATAATATGTTGAACCTTTTTAGTATCAAAAACTATGGAAGCAGCATTACAACTTGGAAAGTCATAATATTTCGTTTCGTCATCACCATAATAATCATAAACACCTGGATGCGTCCATGTTCTCATAAGTCCGGGTGAATTAGGGGAAAGAAGTCCATCATACTCCTCTAATAAAGAAGACATATTTTCAAAAAATGCTTTCTCGGGTAAAGTACCAGAATCTAACCAAGTAATAATTCCCGGATATTCTTTAGCTACTTCCGCAACTATACCGGGTTTCCATGCGTATTCACCACGCGCTATAGTAATGTTCCAAAATGATGGATATTCTGAAAAATTAAAAACTCGTAATTCATCAAAATATCCAAGTTTCATTAATATTTTTATTTCATCTCGTTGCTTCTTTGTTAATCCCAGATCGTAAACAAAAACTCTTGTTTTTAAATTTAAACCTTTTAATGTATCATTCAAATTATAAATAAAGCTTTTTAATGGACAAAAGTGATTTTTACTTGCACCGGTTATGATATTCACGACTTCATCAACATACGCCATTTCGTGCACCTGTTCGTGCACCTTTTCGTTCATCGTTTCATTCATGGGAGATTTGGCAATATCAACGTCTAAATCGTAATCAAATCAAGAAAATCATCATAATAGGAAATGAGAGTCTATTCAATCAAACTTGACCATAATTTTTGTTTAAAGAGAGAATCAAAATTATGACTTACTTGATGTTTTGATCGGAATGGTCGGAGTTATTTGAACCCATAAGCCCGTTAATATTAGTATTATGAAAATTATCAAAACTAGGATTTGAAGTTGTTTAGATTTTTCCGCATTTTTAGAGGGAGATAAGTTATTTATCATTAATAAAAGAAAGTATGAGAAAAAATTTTTTTTTAATAAATGATATTATCGTTTTGTAAATGACAGAATTTTAATTATTTTTTTATTTTTTATTTTTTCATCGTTATATTTATATGTAATAATTAACACTATACTTTTATTTAATTTATTGAACAAAAAGGGAGAAAAAAGAAAGTCACATATATGTCACATAAGGCCGATCATCTGCAAGTTAGTTAATTATATGACCGAACCAATCTCTTATTTCTCGATATAGAGTAGTAGGAAACGGCGAATCTAACCATGTTTGATTAATATAACTGATTTAAATAAAAAAAGGTATTATTAGGTTTTATTTTATACTAATTTCCAAATTTTGGTACTTCCATCATTATCTTCAACATCTATTTTTTTTTCGGAATGATCAAACATATTATTTGGAAATGTTTCTTTAATATGACATTCAACACCATGAATATATAGTGAATATTCTCTCCACCAAGTATTTGTGGTTCTTCCAACATAATTTAATTGAAATGACGGTAATTTATCAAGATATCTACTTTATATAGTTTAATTGACATTAAAAGGAAAAACACCAAAAAGAAATAAATAAAAATAAATAAATAACTTACCTAAATAGTTGACCAATCCCAACGCCTTCATGTTCAATTAATTGCACTATATTATTATCTTTAATTATAACATCACTTTTAGCATTACAAACGATTTTACCTTCACAAACAAGGTTTACTTCTCTGTCAAATCTTTTTAAAATTGGTAATTCATCACAAATATTAATAATATTATAATTAAGATTTCCATTTGATATTACGTTATCAACTGTAAAAGTGTTGGTCTTTTTTTCTTCCATTTTAATATCAACTAAATCATTTTTTACAATATCTATTATAACCGTTTTATTAAACCAAGAACTATTAAAAAAAAAACATTTCTTCAATTTGGAAAGAAGGTTTAATTCGCCGATGATTAATAATAAAAAATTAAAACCTTAATATCCTTTGTAAATTTCCGTTAGCAGTTAAACAAATCCTTTCTAACCCCGAAAATTCATTGGGTAAAAGTAACGTGGTGGTTTTCGATGACATAACATCCCCAAAATTATTGGGAATGAATGTACGAGGATCATTATGAGTATTAGACATGATAAAGATAAAATTTATTTTTTAAAAGCTAAAAACTGAGATTTCATGGAGTAAGACGACCTTTTTATTTTTTTCCCCAATAATTGATTTTCATTTTTCAAATAATCATGCACGTGAATTTCGGAAGCAGATCCGATCTATAATTAAATTTCGTCTCTTTCGTACTGTTGATCTTTATAAATTTTTTATTTTTTATTTTTCTTTATTTTCTTTGAATTTCTAAAGGAGGAGAAATCCAATATTCCCAATCCAGGTTATTTAAAACATTCCCAGACATTTTCAAAGCACTAACTTTTATATAATAAATCCCATCCCCTAAATTGCTCGTAAATCCATTAATTAAACTGAAATTATTGATATTACCATCCCATTCATAAGATAATCTCTGATTTGTTTTGGTTTTAATAAGGTAATGATTAGTACCAAGTAAATTTACATCATAATTTATTCCCGGTAATAATCCGATAATTTGTTTATCGGAATTTAAAGCATGAATTAATAAAAGTTTGGTCGGTGTTGAAATTACTATGGATATTATTGGTTTATTTTCTGAATTTTCCATTGTGAACGTTGTAGGTGTTGTTGAATTCGAAGATATTGTTGTATTCGACTTTTGTATTTGCGGGAATTCTGGTTGTCCTAATATCGGAAGTGATCTTAAATCTCCCGCGAAACCGGCTAGGTAGTATTTAAAGAAAATTTTAACTTTTTGAAATACATCCCAAAAAAAAATTCACAATTTCTCTTACCATATGGAATTGTAACTGGTAGATTAGATTGATCTATTGGTTCCACTTGAATAAATCCGCTATAAAACCATCGTTGTTCTTTAACCAAATCTTTTGGTGACGAAATTTTGAAGAAAACCCTAACGTTACTCCCTGGTTGAACAGTAACTTTATCATTTTCAAATCGTACAATAGCAGTAGAATGATTAAATTTCATATATTTTGTTGGTACGCTCCTAGTCCCATTATATCCATTAACAGAAATCGCAGGAAAATGTTTAAGCCTATAAGTAATTTCTTCCTTTCCATAATTTTGAATATCTAAATATTGATAATCGAATAATTGCGTTCCCTTTAATGATATTTTGAAGGGTGTAACAAACGTTGTGCTTATGATCGAGTTATACACATTAATTAATCCTGCGCCTTGCTGGAGAACTGATGCTTTTTCGTCATTTTTGGTATCGTAAATTGGCGTTGAATAAAGGGTTAACATGTCGCGTGCGTTTAGTGATGAATAGTTGGCTTCCACGTAAAGAGCTAATGCGCCAGATACACAAGCTGTTGCCTGAACAAAAAAAAAAAAAATTTGTAATTTTCAAATATACGTAGGATTATGCTATTTACCTACCATGCTTGTGCCTAAAAGTTGCGCATAACTACCAAGGTGTATAGGGTAAGTCGAAAATATTATTCCTCCTGGTGCTAATAATTCCTAAAGCAAGCAGAAAAAAAATCTCAACACAAGAATAACAAAATCTCTTTGATCTGAAGAACTACTTACAGGCTAAATTAATAAATAAATACATAAAAATCATCGATTAAATATTTCGCCAATGAATCCAAAAATAAAAGTAGTTTTTTTTTTTTTTTTTTTTACCTTTATCTCAAATTCATTAGATAATCCCCAAGAAGAAAAATAAGACATTGAATAGCCAATAGGACTTGATATAATTTGTCCCGTTTTTTCAGAGAATTCCAATTCTAAATTATTATTCTCTTTTTTTCTCTCTTTAATTAATCGAGCTATATTAGGAATTATTGTAGCTGTTGGTATCGTTATTTGTGCTTTATCAAAATATGCTAAAATTGGTCCAAGTGTTACTTCTGTTACTAATAATATCCCTGACGCTTTAATTTTTTGTAAATTTCCAAACTATTTAAATAAAGAAAAAAAAAAGTTAGCATTTTGAATAAAATAGTGAAACCTTTTATATATGTATATATTTATTTACCCATGCGCAATCTAACGGACTGGTATCTAACATAACTAGAACTATTTTACTTTTATACTTTTTGAAATTTTTTGGGCATTCATAATCTGGAAATATTTCAACTTTGGCCGAAGAGAAAGCAAATGCTCTCGCAGAAACCGTAATGTAATCTAAACAAATGAAAATAACTCAATTCTAACTATATCAATAAAAAGAAAAAAGAAAGAAACTACGCACCGATACTAAAATTCTTGTCTGAAACATCATAGGCTTTAAAAGCCAAATAATGAGTATTTTCAATCGAACCTACGGAAATAGCTTTACTTCCTAGTAATTCTCCTTCTGATTCAAAAATCCCTTCGATTCCAACATTTCCATTAGCTGTAACAACAATGATTCCAGTTCTCGTTAATGCATCTATCATTTTTGAAAGTGGCGTTATGGCCCAATTGGTTCCTCCCTACAAGTAGTACAAAGAAAGATTTATGATGGAATTACGCAAAAGAAAAAGAAAGAAATTATCCCCTTTCTGTTTATTTACCAATGATAAATTAATAATATTCATTCCATCATCTTTAGCTCTTTGCAATGCTGTCATTACCACATCTCCTTCACCTTGCCCTTCACAGTCCATGACACGATAAGCACCAAATGTAATTTGAGGAGCTATTCCAAGAAATCCACTGTGCATTGAATCATTTGCTCCAATTATCCCTGGATAAATTTCCTTTCAATTTTAGTTGTAAATTCATCAATTCATTAATCATTCTATAAATTCGAACCTGCAACGTGAGTTCCGTGCCCTACACAAACGTCACGTGGATCCCACGTATCTTCTAAATAATTATATCCGTATTCAACTCTACACCCTGGTCCAAAACATCCCCCTAAAGCTGGATGTAGATAATCAATTCCTAACATAATCAAAGTATATAAAATCAATTTTCATTAATTTTTATGAATCGTTGATTTTTTACTTACCAGTATCTATAATTCCGACTTTAATTCCTTTGCCATAATATCCTAATTTGTTATGGACCAAATCAGCCCCTATCATTTTATGTATAGAATTCAAATTTGCTTCTTTAGAAAGATTCAGTGGTGTATCTGGTGTCCAATCACGTTTATCAAATGACATTCGGGTATATTTCGATTCGATTTCCATCTTCGTATTTGAAGAAGTTGGCAATATCTGATGTCTTTGCTTTAAAAAAAAATCAATCAATCAATCAAATATAAATTGGATATCACATCGTAAGAGGTTAACACTTACAACAGGCTCAATACTTTGTACTCCCGTTATTTCCACAATCTTTTCCAAATCATTTTCTTTAACCTCAAATGATATGGCATTAATTAACTCATAAAACTCGTATCTTACGCTAATATTTAATCCTTTTTTCTTAATCTCTGAATGAAAATTTTCATGTTGTTTAATAATTTCATGTTTTTCCTTATCATCAAGTGACGGTGTGATTGTGAATTTTAAAATATATACATTTTCAACAATTTCTACATGTTTTGGGGCACGTTTTATTATTCCTACACCTTTTATCATTCGTATACAAATTATTATTTGCAAAATTATTATTAAACATTTAATTATATGAAATTGACTCATCCTTTCGTAATACAATCTTGGATGAAATTATTAGATAGCGGTTCAATCTTAATTTATTTATTTTAAATTGCAATGCTCCTTTTGTACATTATTAACGGGAAAAAACGATGGAAATCAAGATCATTCCGACGACTCCGCCACAACCTTTACGCTTAAGCCTCAACTAAGCTTTTACATAAAAGTCGTCATTGCCCCTAAAGACTCGTCAATTTTGTCGATCAAATAGATCAAATAACATTTGATTTCTGCAGAATGGTACTGAATCCTTGGTTAATTTTGTACCTTTGTGTCTTAACGATCAATTTTTTAGAACTTAGGGAGATTCTCAACTACATAATCCTTATTCATATTATTAATATTCTCGTATATAATTAATTAGTTTATCACTGAATGAATTAATTTACCTATAACTATTTTTATTATTATAATTCTTTTTACTGTAAGATAAAGATATTTATGGAGGCAACTTTAATGATAAACTCTTAATAAAAAAATTATTGTAAAAATAGTATTTCATATTAAATAATTATAAAAAAATATGTTGAAACTTCTAATAGGTTTTTCTAAACTAAATTAAGTTTAACAAGTTTCGGATTTAAAAAAAAAGTCATTTTTGGTTTCGAAAAAGTTTTCTAAATTTTTAAGCTACACGTTAATCGAACAGCATCATTATTTATCATCATATAATCTTAACCAATTTTTGTAGTTTCAAATCGAATTATCTATTAAAATTCTTTACATTATACTATTAGTTGTTATAAAAGAATAAATTTGTAATAGAAATCAGATAATATTTTAAAATACACTTTTAGATAATTCGCATTAGAAACAAACTATTTAAAATATGTTTAGATTTAATATTAATTAAAAATTTTTTTTTATTTATAATCTTTCTTTTACTATAAAGTATCAATATATAAACTTTTATAATAATAAAAATTGGTCCTTTTAAAATAAATCAAATTTATTTTTATATATTAAATATAAATACTACTAAATTTAATACTTATTTTTTTCCTTTTATTACAAAATGTCTTATATCTTATTATATTTAATAATAATAAAAATTTATATATAAGTTATATAAAAAATAAAATACAATTTAAATAATAATTTTAAAAGGATTAACTTTTAGTTAAATTATTTATAATTTTACTGAAAAATCATATTTATCATGGAAAATAAAATTTTAATTTATTTAAAATACTTATATAAATTATATTATTTATTATATTAATAAAATATTATAAATTAATTTATAAATTAATTAATGATTTATAATAAAATAATATATTAAAATTTCAATAAAATTTTTTTTCTAAAAGCCAAATAATTTTATTTATAAAATCACACGTTTTAATTTATTATATGTATATTATTTTGATCATTTTAAGTTATATATTACTTTACAATAAAGTATTAACTAATAATATTATA